ACCGTATAAAAAGTCCAACAGACCATGGAAATATGTAGGGAATATTGACTGGTTCGGCGCCCCATACTCTCGTCCTGCTTGTTTAAGTAGTTACACTTGTAACAAAATTTTGACTTTATTTCATAGTCAATGACTTTGCCAGTTTGCCAGAAAAGGGAAAACACAGCTCCATAAAGTGAACTATGACCCCTCTTCATCCATGTACCATCAATGGTGATGGATATGTCAGCCAGGTCATCTTCTTCACAATTGTTTATCTCCCTTATCTCCTTGACAGCTGCAGTCATTCTCTCCTTAGCTTCCAAAATAGCCGCATCCTTGATATGTTTTGAATGCTTGTCGTAACTTCTGTTGGCCATGGGCCCAGGAATGTCCAAAGTACTACATATCTTTGACAATGCTACATAACCTCGTCAAATTAACTTGGAAGCAAAAACAGCATCCTTATTTACTGGGAAAAACCGTCCAGTCTTGCAATCAGTACTAAAGGAGGTTTCTTCGCCACATTCAACGCATTTGAAGGTCATCTGGGATGCCAATCCCATTCTTCCATCCTTGCGAAGAAGCAGAGAGCCTTCTTTGCAGCTTTTGCAAACCGCAGCTTGCTCAATCGCCGAAACAAGGCTTTTGATATCAAAAATTTGCCATCCTGAACAATCGTGAAGATCATATATTTCTTCCAATTCATCTTCCTTGAGATCAGACAGCCGTCGCTTTCCACTAACAATCTTTGTGACGTAGGAATTTTAAGCTAATCACAGTTTAGCTCAAGTAGCCCCAGAACTACTGCGTGAGGTATTCCCTGTGAGGAGCACTCGAGTTTCATTCTATGATGGAATCTGATTGGCCAAGAAGAAACAAAAGTCATTACGTCACAGAAATCGTTTCCTGGCTCGGGTTCGCAGACGTTATTTTCAGCGGGGACAACCTGCAGCACCCTCTCTCACAGTTGGAAGTTGGATGGAAAGGTGTCTAAAATGCTGGTTTTCACTCCCAGTATCAACTCAAATTCTGCAATGATCTGAATGACAATATACAATAGTAACATTCTGTGGCTTAATATCACAAATGCAATAAGCCAACCAC